TGATTTGGGTGAGACTTTTTGCAAACTATAGCTAACAAAAAGCTTATCTATTGGAAAAATTATGGTGCAACAATCACTCACTGCAGCATGATGAAAAGAATTGTGGTCACGATTCAGTTGATATAAGGAGCATTGTAGGTGTGATGGATATATCACGGGCACAATGGAGACCTGATTCCGACATGTTTTTTCTTCTACAAAAGAGAAGAAAAAAAACATAGGAAAGAATGGTGGACATTCTTGTGATTGGATTTTGATGGTGAAATAATTTTTGGAGCTTTAGAGTCGATGTTTTCATCAGCAGAAGTCAAACTCTAACCGAAGATTCATGTATTGTTTCTTTATTACTTTAGTTATGATTTATGTTAGTATGAGTTGATAAGTTTTTATTTATTAGGGCTTGTTATTTGCATTTTATACTTTTTTTCACTTTGATTACTTTCTTGCTCATTGCTTTATATGCGTTGACGAATTTATATATCGAACTTAGAAATTGTATTGATTACTGGCCATAACGGTACAAATATGAACTAAATTAACTCTTCAACTTATTAATTTATTATGAATAAGAGATTATAAGTAATGACGTAGGGTTTAACGTTCCAATTATCACATGTTTTAACTATCCATCTGGCCTAAGGAATTAAGAAGTTGTAGTCTAGAAGAGTGAGTTATAGACCAAGGAGCTGAGTATAACTACTAAGTTAATCCATCATAATCTCTAAAAAATCAATATAGGGCAATTAGAAACCGACATCACCAATGATATGGAAGGATTCGAAACAAGGCCTAATCGCCTTTAATCTGATTAAGTTTTCCAACAATTTTACTTACATTTTTATTTTACCAAATCAAACCTAAAATCCCCCATTTTACTTTCAATAGCACGCGGATCTCTTTGTTAAGATAAAACAATCCATGTGGATACAAACTTATAAATCTTACTACTTCGATATGTTTAGTGCACTTGCTAAATTGTCATTAAGTTTTCGGTGTTATTGTCGGGGATTGTTATATTATTTTAACAATACCATTTTTGTGCTATGTTTTTTATTTTTAATTTATGTATTTTATTTTATTTTTATTTTATACTCTTATTCAATCTTTATTTTAGTGTTACTAAGGTATTATCTGTTCTGGATGCGAGGTATATGATTTATCATATTTCTTTTTGATTCAATACATGTATGATGGAGCTTGATTTTCAACTTGCTCTATTAGCACATCTTGAAACGTTATCAAAGAAATTGGCTGCCTCAACTCTTGTTCCAGCAAATGTTAATCCAGTCAGTGAATTTCAATGTGACTTATGTGGTGAAGGTTACACCAATTTCCATTGTGTACCAGAGAGATAAGTTACAGAGACACATTATCCACAAAATTATCAAGATCCAGATCCTTACTTCAACATGTATAATCCATGGTGGGAAGATCGTCTAAATCTTAAATAGAGTAACAATCAATGTCAAAATTTTAACCAAACTCCTCAAGATCCACCATCAAGGAAGTCATCATTTCTAGAAGAGACATTGAAAGAACTCGAGAAGATGACTCAACACAACCTCAAAGCATTAAAGATCAATCAAGAAATATCCAACAAGAACTATGAAGCTTTCATTAATAACCTTGATCAAATTCGACAGTTATTTGAACAAGTGGAAACTCAATCAAGTGGAGGTTACGTTGGATAATTTTAGGAATGAGGAAGTTGAGAGAGAATCCGAAGAGAAATGGGAAGTAGTAGGTGAAAGAGGAGTTGAAAAATAATAAGGATAAGAAAAACGCATGCCATCAAATAAAAAAACTGAATCAAGAACATAAAAATATGAGGTGAAAAATAGATATGTGAAAAGAGCAAGAATGCAAAGTGAGGATTATATAGTTTTGGGGGAAGCTCCAAATTCAATAATTTGTTTAGACGTAGATATCTAACAAGAAAATATTCAACAAAAGCATGTCATTAAAAGTTATTTTAGCAACAAGACAGATGGAAAATAAGAAATTGATAAAGTATTGGATGCTATTTATGTCTTGTTCGCTACTACACAACTGAAGAAGATATGAGAGCAACATTATCAATACCTCAAGTGCATGAGATTTTTACCAAATAAAAGGAAGAAAAAAGATGATGTATTTTTTTATCATATATGTCGCCCTAACATAACATCAAACGGTCAGGCTAATAACATTAAATAAACGTTGTTTGGGAGGCAACCCACAAATTAATGTTATTTATTTTTCTTTCATTTTGTCTTTTTTGCTTTTCAGTTTTATGAACTACACTATGCTTAATTTAATGAATAAATTTGTTTCGGTTGTTTTCTTCAGTTTTGAATATCATGCTTTACCAATGACAAAAAGAATAAAACATAAGAAAAGAAACACAAAATAAAAGAGAAAACAAAATTCTTACAAAAGTTTCAAATGTGGATTGATGAAGTAAGAAGAAGAGTAATATTCAACAATCTTATACTCAGATCACCCGATACCTCAACAAGTATGGTTTAAGTCAAGTAATTCCAATATTTATCTCCTTCCTTGTATGAATGGTCGTATGATTGTTTATTTTCTAAAATTTGCTTTAATTTTAAATTGTTATCTATCTATTTGATTACAAAGTAAGACAAGTTGTTTGTTTTAACTTAGACCTTTCTTAAGTGAACTTAAAAATAGTTTTTATCCTTTGTTAAATAAACCTTTTAAGTATGAGCCATTATTTTGATAACTTAGTCATATAATTAATCGATTGACTTGAAAGAAAAATTATTTCACTCTCTTCTTAGAGTTAAATAGATAATATCATTAAGTCATTAAAAAAAAAACTAGAAATTATTATTTCACCAACAATTATACATGTCAACTTACTTTAATGCACCAATATAGAACCTCATTGCCCCACTCTTATAGAATAAGAAATTATTTTCACAACTTTCTTATTTATCATGATATTAATAGTCAATACGTTTAATACTTCAAATAATTTTTTTAATTCTTGTGAGGTATTCTATATATTATATGTTTTATTATACGTTATTTTTAACCCAAAAAAGTTCATATAAGTTTTAAATTTATATCCCAAAATCATGCAAGTGATAGAAAAATGATTAGTTATTTATTCCAAAAAAATAAAATAAAAATAAATATGGTGTAAAAGAGTGTTTATCATATAAATTCAAAATTTAAAGTGAAAATAACAATATTTGTGAGGATCAATAACTTATTTAATTCATAAATAAATTTGTATAGTTTTTTTTCTTAAATTTTGAGTAAGATATTTTACCAATGACAAAAAGAATAAAGACACAAGAAAAGAAAAATAAAAAGAAAACAGAATACAAAATTGTTACAGAAATTTCAAATGTGGATTGACGATGTATGAAGAAGAGTAATACAACTTTTAACAATCTTGTACTCAATCACCAAATACTTCAGCAAATATGGTTTGAGCCAAATAATTTTAATATTTACCTCATTTCTTGTATGAATGTTCGTATGATTATTCATTTTTTAGAATTTTTTTTAATTCTGAATTTTTGTCTATCGGTTTTATTGCACACTCATACAAGATATATGTTTTAACTTAGACCATTTCTTAAATAAACTTAAAAATAATTTTTATCCTTTACTAAACACTTTAATCCCGAGTCATTCTTTTAAACCCGAGCCATTCTTTTGGTAACTTAGCCATATATTGACATAAAAAGAGAAATAGTTCCACTCTCTCTTTAAAATTAAGTAGATAATATCATTAAATCATTTAAAAAAAAGATAAGAATTATTGTTTTACCAACTATTATGTATAATCCATCAATGTCATTGTGTCACTCATATATAATAAAAAATTATTTTTGCAACTTTCTCGTTTATCATAATATTAATTATTATTTTTTAAAAATAAGCTTGTAAAATTTATCAATAGTCAATACATTTAATACTTTAAATAATTTTTTTAATTCTCGTGAGGTATTCTATGAGTTATATTATTTGTTTTATCCTATGATATTTTTTACCCAAAAAAATTAATATAAGTTTTAAATTTATATCCCAAAATTATGCAAGTGATGAAAAATGATTAGTTATTCATTCCAAAAAAAAGAAAAAAAATTAAATATAGTGTAAAAGAGTGTTTATCAATAGTGTTTTAAAAATCGGACCGGACCGGCTGATCCGACCGGAAACCGGCTTAGTAACCAGTCTGATTTACTAGTTCGATCGTCTGTGTCATTAAACCGGTAAAAACCGAAAAAAATCGGATTGGACTAGAAAAAACTGGGTTTAGAGTTGGACCGGTTCTAATACATTTTTTATTTTTTAATTAAAATTTAAATGTAAAAATTATAAAAATTAAAAAAAAATATTTAAAATTAGATTATGTTGCAATTATTTTGTAATTTTGTTACGGGGATACATTTGTTTAAAATTTGAATTTAAATTATGAACTTGTGAATTTATGATAGGATAATTTTAAAAAATTTAACTACTAGTTATATTTTTTTTAGAAACTAAATCATCCGGTTCGACCGGTTTTATATCTATATAATGATAGGTCTATTCAACCGAGTTATCCGGTTTAATTCGGTTTAATCATGCGGTTCGACCAATAATCCATAGTTCGACCGATAAACCAGTGATCCAATATCCTCACCGATTCGCAGTCCAATTTTTAAAACAATGCTTATATCATATAAATTCAAAACTTAAACTCACGATTAGGGTTAATTTATTATTTATTTTAATTTGCAACCACTTGGCGATGAAATTGAGAGATTCATATCATCAATTTTTAACACTTCAGTCGTCTTCTAATTCTTCACTCTCTCTGTAACTCGCTTCTCTCACTTACCAAACCCTAATTCCCAATTTTACCACTCTCGCCGCAATCTCTCACCATCAGATTCAAAAATCCACACTTTATATCATTTACTTCGTTTCCCGTTATAGATTTCATCTTATATATATTTAATTTGATTTGATTTGATTCTTCTCACTCTAATCTCACGATGAAAGAGGGTAAACTAAATCATCAACTTCAGCACCAGAATGGTCACCTTTCTCCTTTCAAATTCGCCAAATTGCTCGATCCAGAAGCTTCCTGGGACAAGGTTTCTGTTTAATTTCTCTTTTCTATCTTAATTTTTTCCTCTTATTTTTTTGATCTGATTCAGTTGTTTCCAGGAAATTTGATTCAATTATTACTCAACTAGGTTCTATGTTTGTACCATAAATTTACTCTCAATTTTTAAATTGAATACTAATTTGATATTAAAAATGGAGCAATTTGAGTGTGAAGTCTCAATTGATTATATTTAGGAACAAGTATCAGTGATTTGGATTATTGCTTGTTTCCTTCACAGTTGGAAGAATATGAAAAGAAAAAACATAACAGAAAAAAAATGTACCAAATATGTTCAGATTCATTAATATTGTTGGATTAAAAGAAACATATAGTGCATCATTTAATACTAGTTACTGTTATGTGTTTAGCTAATATGAGTTGTGAGTTTGACAGTGATCACATGACCTAGATTAATCATTTAGTTTTGCTGATTTATTGGGAGTTTCTACTTCATGTTTGATTCTTGTGTAGTTTCTTCTTTTGGGGTTTTAATGCAATATTTTAATATTATTGGATTCATTAATGCAAAATGGCTGCTGACGGTTTAGGTCACATGGGTTGTGAGTTGGACAGTGATCTCATGGTCTATGATCATCCTCCACGCCAGATTCAGCATCTTGTTTTACTGATTTGTGTGGAGTTTCTACTTCTCGTTTGATTCTAGTGTAGTTTTTTCCTTTGGGCTTTTATGCAATATTGGGTTGTGAGTTGAACAGTGATCTCATGGTCCATGGACATCATCTGCTCCAGGCTAAGCATCATTTTTTGCTAATTTGTTGGGAGTTTCTACTTCCCGTTTGATTCTAGTGTAGTCCTTACTCCCTATTTGATTCTAGTGTAGTTTCTTCTTTTGGGTTTTTATCCCCGTTTAATTTATAGAAAGTATACTAGTGATTGTTATGCATTGTTGTATGTGTTATATGTTTGATATGTGTGTAGCTTCACTAAATCGAGCAAGGCACTTTAGAAGCTTACCGAATCTGCTTTATGATAATTTTGCACTCCTCATTCTATTGGAGCCAATTGTATTGAGTTGATCTCATTATCCTAACCAGTTTCTTCATTTTTGTCTTTCACCTCCCCAACCCTAAATAGGACCAACTTGGTGATGTATTGCATTGGATTCGACAAGCAATGGGCCTTGTATTTGGATTGCTTTGGGGTGCCTTTCCAGTGGTTGGGGGATTTTGGTTTATCCTGTAAGTGTTTGTTTTATTAATTGTGTTTGTTCATGGGATTCTCATATTAATTGGTTTATCACTCTATTCCATATGACATTGCCTTGCCTGATGATTTACTTGTTCCGGGATTCTCATATTCATTGATGATGTGATATTATGCATAGACAACTTGATTGGTTTTATTACTTTGTGCCTACATAATTTGATGTCAATACAATTTATAAATCTGAAACTATTATCTAGAATATCAATGCTGGAGAAGGATTTTATTGGGTGTCTTTGTTCTTACAAGTTGTGATCTCAATATTTGCATGACACTTCGAAGTACATTCTGAGGAGAGTGTGTGAAGGCGGTTGTTTTTGCTATGTGAGGTGAATTTTTTTGCCCAAAGAGAATCCTTACCTTCATTTATCTTTCCCAACCCAGATTTTTAGTGACATTCTTTGCATAAACTGGTTCTTTTTGTACAATTATATATTAAAAAAATTTATGAATTGTTGAGACCTTTCTAGGTATTTCCATTTTTTATCCATCAACTGTTGCTTTGTAAGGTGAATTTTTTTGTACAAAGAGAATCCTTATTTCATTATCTTCCCCAACCCAGATTGAGGACAGATCTCTCTATTTTCCTTAGATGCTTGTAAGTGTTACAACTTGTAACATTATTCTCCAATCAAAATATAACTAGTATTGTTTTTATCACACCTCAAATGTGAGATCTTCACATACAAGTGTGAGGACTTTAAGAATAGTGCACACTATATTTTTATTGGAAAACAATACAACAAATCCACGAGCACTGCGTAACTTTATCCGAGTTTGTCTTTAAAAGTAACATCACAGTATGGTCTGACACTTCTTCAGTTTGTGTTAATTCCTAAAGTGAAGTTTTCTGTTTGCATTGCAGCTTTTTAGTTTTGTCCTCTGGGATCATATATGGTTACTATTCAGTAATATTGAAGGTTGATGAAGAGGAATTTGGCGGCCACGGATCCCTTCTCCAAGAGGGGCTTTTTGCTTCTACAACTCTATTCCTGGTAATGTAGTCTATATTACTCTATTAACTGAATAAATTTTTCTATGGCCTAACAAAAATAGCTGGATTTTATTGTTCCACAAGCTGAGCCTGCTTCTCTACTATATGCAGCTTTCCTGGATTCTAGTCTACAGTTTAGCACACTTCTGATTGGCGAGGAACTTGAAGTGTTGCTAATATCTCCGAATGTCTGACTTTTAAAAGTTTATATTTGATTTGACGTTGGACCATAGTGTTCTGAAATCAATGAGAAAAATGTGGGTTGCGGGTATTTATTTTTCAATGTAAAACGTTCAGATTTTGTGGAGGGTGAAAGAATTTGCTTCTGTTTTCTATGATGGTAAGTAGCTGTTCTAGCTAGCATTTCGAATGATACCACATATTTGTGGCAAATTATGGATTGTAGAGTTAACGACAATCAAAATTCTGTTAAACTGTTGAATAAAGGTGCTTGCAGGCAAATTCTGAAGGTTATTTTTGCAGTTCTAAATTACTTCATGCTCTATGTCTGTTTCAATATTTTGTTCCTATGATGTCTCGTTAAATACTAGAATTCTGAATATTATGATACTTGAATTGTGATATTAAAAAGTTTGCAATCGTATTAGTGTTGCACTATGTTTGATGACTTGTATATGTTTGGAAAACGATTAGGTTTGTTTCTTTCCTTTTTAAAATGGGTGTTCATTCTAAATTAGTAACAATGAAATGGAATATGCTCCTATAACAAAGGTGATTGAGAGAATGTGAATGACCAACTAGGAAGAAAATGTTAGATCTATATGTGAAAATTGTAAAAAGAAAATGTTAGATCTATATGTGAAAATTGTAAAAAAAAATAATTAAACTGTATAAGAGGCTTCTACTAGAGTTTTTTTTTTAAGAATAACCTATTATTTCAATAAAATACAAAAATACTAATGTTTTAAAAAAAAATTTTACTAACCTAGTTTGGGATCTAGAAAACAAGAATATGCCAAATGAAATGGTGTATTCCTTGAATGTTGTTCTTATATGTCATCTCAAATGGCTATGCATGTCCACTAAACCATATGAAATGGTGCCTACATATAATAAATCGACCCATGCGCCATTTGCCCATGCGCCATTTCATATGGCGCCACCCTTGTATTTTATTTTATTTCTTTACTTTTTTTTAAAATTATTTATGTGTATGTCATTTCAACTGGCTACTACTAATACACATTTTCCTTATAAATATTGACCACCATGTCTTCATTTTTCTTTGCACTAACCTCTCCTCATTTTACTCCAAACCAACTTCTCCTCATTCCTTTGCCAAAATGACTTCATCTTCTTCCTCCAAATATCTTTATCGGGTTCTATATACCACAGGAGAAATGTCAATTTAATTTTCTCGTCAGTCAAACCTCCAACGAAGATTTGCCTCTAGAATACACTGATGTTAGAACATCTTAACAGGAGTCTGATCCGCTAGTTAGATGGAGACATTGCAGAGGGTGAAAAGATCAGAAGAATTCAAGGGCTTGTTATCACGTTCAACCAAAATGGAGAAGTTTGTTTTTGGGAGAATGTTACTAATGACCAAGATGTTCATAAGTTGATGTATAGTTCTCAAAAAAATTGACTCGATGATTGTAATCGCTTAGTTATGTTGTTTAGTCAGTATATTTGTTTGTTTTGTTGTTTAAGTGTAAATATTATTGTTACTTGTTGTTTTTAAATTATTTTTATTTAATGTTGTGATATTAATGGAAAGAAAGTTGTTGTTGATATAAAGAGACAAGGTTACATTTAAAACTATGATATTGTGTTTGGTCCTACATTGGGATATTTTGTAAGATTGTGTCCAGGCTGACGGCATGAACTACATAATCTGACCATTTTATTTGTCGTATCCATCTCAATTCGAATACGCGTGCTATTAGGACAACTCTTTTTCTTTCTTCGCATAATTTCATTATGCCAGACAATTTCGTCTTTGTATGCATGCCAGTAGTCCTCCTTTGCAACTATCTAAAAGTTAGTGCTTTAGACATTGCATATACTAATGACGTGGTGCACATAACAAATATTTTACTGAACTGGTGTTTGATAGAATTGTGGTGCAATATTTCAGTGTACTAGTGTATGATAGAATGATAGTGCAATAAAATGTTAGTTTCAAGTGTATTTACAAGCATTAGTCTTGTATCCACTTCTCAATTATATCAATCATATCTTCTTACATTCATTTTGTCTTATCTCATTTATATCTTATTATCACCTTCAATGCATTAGTTTTGTCGTCCTTTATATCTTCTTATATCCTTTCATGCATTAGTCTTGTCTCCTTTATGACCACCAAAACCCTATTATTGTCTTCTTATAGCATGCATTACTCTTGTCTCCTCTATGCATGCTTTACACGAATTTGATATTTTTTTCTTACACTATTGTCTTGCATGCATTACTAAGATTCACATGCCTACAAGATAGTCTTGTCTCCTAGTCTTACAAGATAAGATAATGTGGTAAAGAGATTCACATGCCTACAAGATAGTCTTGTATCATAGTCTTACAAGATAATACAATGCTTTAAAGAGACTTACATGCCTATAAGATAATGTGGTAAAGACAAGTTTTGCATGCATTACACAAATTTGTTGCTTTATTTCTTACATTATTTACTTACTATTTTGCTACCATGCATTTGTAATTGCTTTGTTTCCAAGATTCACATGCAACATGCCTACAAATATGGTCTTGTATCATAGTCTTACAAGATAAGACAATGCCTTAAAGAGCTTCATATGCATTCTTGTAAGAGATGTCTTACACATGCATTCTTGTAAGAGATGTCTTACATCGTGTAAGAGATGTCTTACACAATCGATTCCTCATGTGGAAAATAGTAGAAAGCGCCATTTCATTTAGTTCACACTCTTTTAATTTAAAACCCACGTGTCATATGGTATGTGTCATATGGTATGACGTGTATGTTTATTAAACACAATTCATGCGCCATATGGTATGATGTCCATGTATATTGTCTTATGCAAATCCTAGTATTTTAACCTAACACGTGAAGAGAGGAATTCCACCAAGGCCAACTCAAACAATTTGGAAGTCCAGTATAAATTATAAAACTTAGACTTCTAACAAATAAAAATAAATATTAAAAAAATTCTATTTTATAAATAAAAATATATGAAAAAAATATAAGTACATTATAATACTTAAACCTATCTATTTTGCAGTAACTTTTGTTATGTAATAGATAATACATGTAATATTAATTAAATAAGAATAATATTATAATACTTTTGTTCACACTACAAGTTTTTACTTATTAAATTATGTTCGGGTATATTTGTTGCTCAAAATTATTAATTTAAACAAAAATAAAAGTAGTTCACATTTTATACATATTAATTAGAACACCAAAATTAAAATTTGTAAGAAAGACAATTATTTTGATATCTAAATTTTGTTGATATAAAATTATAATTTTGAAAATACACATTTCATATAAGACTTAATCAAGAATTTTTTACAATGCTACTTAATTAATTTTAGCTTAATAGAATTCAAATTTTAAACCCTTAAAAATTGTCAAATAAAAAAAAGAAGAATTCATTTTATAAGCAAATAATTAATCTTTATTTTCGAATCACGTAATTTATTGATGTAAACTAAATGCATATCATAAAAAGTATGGTCCAATGCATAAATATTTTTTCAGAGGTTCATGAATTAGAGAAATTAATTACTGGTTAAAGATAATATGTCGTTATTAACGTTTGAAATTGAGTGTGGTGTAACATTTATCAATATTCTATAGTATTGCCATTTATCAATATAGTTTTTAGATCCCACATTGGAAATTGAAAAACATTATATAAGTAAATTTATTTATAACTTTGCAGTGTTATAGCATTATAAATAAAGCTTATGAATAAATAGCATACTATATATAACTTTTTAATTCAAGGTTTTGTGAGGCCCCTCTAAAGCCGAGGCTATGTGCTATGGCACATGTTAAACAAATATAGGGTCAGACTTGAATTCCACTATAAATATTGTTTCGGATTGACCTAATGGTTAGGTATTATTCAATCTATTTTTACTCCTAAAACGTTCTAGTTGTCTAAGTCCAACCACTTGGGATAGAATTTACCTTTCTGCCTCCCTCATCCCAACAGGGGAGGCTGACCAATTTACCCTTGATTACAACACTTCTCCTCGTCAGTCTCGGCCCGTTACACACGGTCCCACCATCCAGAAACAGTCAAGACGCTTGTGCCCGTAACTACGTCCCTGCCCGTAGCAACGGCTAGTTATGGGCACCTCTGCCCGTTACAACAACTAGTTCTAGCAGTTACCTATTCTTCGGGAAACAGTTATCTCGCCCTAAAAATAGGGACCAATGGCCCAGCGCTGGGGGCATTATATAAACCATATCACTTGAGAGGGTCAAATATCCAATATTCACCCTGATATACTCATATTTTGTATTTGCTCTCTCTCTTGCTCGTTTTATTACTTTAGCATCGGAGTGCCTTGCAGGTACACCCCCTCCTCCTCTTTCACACCTAGCATCACAAACAATTGTCTTTGACCCACCTCAAGTTCTGATCAACCAGTAAGATCAGTGACGCCGTCTGTGGAAAACCTGTTATCCCCGTCTTTTCTCTTTTCGTAGACACGAGACCAAAACAATTCTTCAAAATCCCAATCATGACCAGCTGTGACAACACTCTTAATGCTCGCAACTCTGCTTTCCTCCCTGCCAGCAAGACTGACGCTGATGGAGCCACCACCTCTCGTGGCGGCGACGTCCTCCGACAAAGGGACGGAGCCACAACTTCTCCATCCCTTGTTCACTTAAATCACAATGAAGTCGCGCTCGTCCTGCAGCACCTACCAGTCCCAATTCTGCCCAGCGCTGACCCGACAATGGCGGCCCTCCTCGAGGTTCTCAACAAGACCAACCTCCTAATCCTCAACCAAAACGTGAGGATTGGAGCATTAGAAGAGTCCAGTCGTCCAAGATCCTTTCCGCCAAGGAAGGAGCATCAGCGACCACAAAGTCCTCATCCCCGATGCGAGAGGAACCGTCAGACACCTCCGGAGCCAAAGACCCTGACCATCCGCAAATGCGACCACATCTCTCCTCAGAACCAACA